CTCCACCATCCCTCCCTCCCTCCTTCCCTCGCTCCTTCCCTCCTTCCGCCCTGTCACGGGGACAAAGGCGGCGGGGGAGAGGCACCTAAGGTGAAACCACCTTAAGCAAGATCCACATTCCACCATCAGGGAGCCGTCGTCGGGCCCGCGGCAAAGGCAGTGCACGGAGGACGAGGGAGAGGGAGGGGGTACGGGGTCACAGAGAGCCGCCCTCGTTTTGGACGGAGGGAGGCTTGAAGATGGTGAGGCGGTGAGAGGGGGCTCGGAGGGAATGGTTTCGACAGTGATGAGGCGGGAAGACGTCGGGGAGGAGGAAGGGGAGGAAAGGGAGGAGGAGGAGGAGGTAGCTGGGAGCTGGAGGGGCAGCACAGTGGAGGCCTGACAAAGCATACTGGCGGATGAGTTCCTCACTCTAGCCTCATTCGCCAATGAAATGGCTTTCCTGTGCGGGCATATGGTGGGGGTACCTTTGTAAGTGTGTATTCAAATGAGCGCGGAGGTTTTCAATCGATATCGAGCAGGAATGAGTTTGGGTCAGGACCAAAGACTTTTTTCCCTCCATGAACAAGACATCATATCATTTTATCGGTAAGAAGAGTGAAATCCCTCTCTCGCAGTCTTTTGGGGCACCTTTGAGAGCCCTCACATACTTGTGGTTGCAATTAGCATGCCCGAACTGGCATCCAAAAGGAACGCGACCAGACTCGGAGAGCCCTTGCACGTTTTACGCTTCCAAAAAAGGTTTTCGTTCACTCATGACAGAGCTCATTCAACATCCATTGCCATAGCGGTACGCTTTTTCTGTGCCCGGCCTTTCAAATGCAGTAAACATTTGTCTCATTATACCCCAAGCGGGTGTTGAAGAGGGCGATGCGGTCGAAGCCAGAGCCTGCGAGGATCGCGCCGACATTTTCCACATCGTCACACGGTATCGCGTCCGAAACATATGTCTGAGCCACCTAGTCCGGCCGGGGTGCATACGGCTGGTAGCAGAAACATGTAGCCGGCGTAAAAAGGGGAATTAACGCTCTGCTTGAAGGGGAGGAGGTTATCCCGCGAACGAACATGACGCAGACGATTTCCCACACCGTTGTAAGAGAGCTGATGGACTCATGAATTCCATTCGGGCACAGGGTATAAGGCACGCATGCCTGGACGACGATCAGGTATGCTGACGCGCCGGCGTCGATCCCCGCATTTTTCCCTTTTTGCGCTACTGCTGACGCTGAGCGCGTTCGCTGTCACGGCATTCGTCCCTCGCAGGGCCAGACTGCCCCCCTTCCAAACGACGCCGACACTACGACGAAGCAAGCATGGAGCTCTTTTTCTGAGCACACAATTGGACGGGAACAGCACCATGGTTGCTGTGCCTGGAGAGAAAGGCAAGAAAAAGAAGAAAGTGGTCGTCGTCGGAGCGGGATGGGGCGGTCTGAGTGCCACCTACGAACTAGCGAAGCGGTAAGACAACGTTTTTACAAGCAAAAAAATATGGAGGCGGCATATGGTGGCATGGAATAAAAGAAAGGCTTGTGGACAATCGCCCCCTGCGTGTCAACAAGGCGCTGACAATACCAGAGTGCATGGGCGCATGAGGGAGGGGTGACGGAGCGTAGACTCGCAGTAGTGATAGAGCTGGGCAACTGTGGCCCGCATTTTTTCATTCACCTTCTCCTTAAGTCTCTTGTCTGTCTACCCCATGTCTTGGCGGCTTCTGCCCTTCCTCTGACAAGAGCTTTCCTCACTGTGCGCGTGAAAACCGTTCACTTCCCCGGTTCCCTGCACCTCCCTCTTTTTTTTTTCCTTCCATTGCACTTGGCCACCTTGCCCGCCTTACCAACGTAGCTCGGACGAGTATGAGGTGACCCTGTTGGAGGCAGGTCCTTCCGTGGGGGGTTTGGTGGCTGGATGGAAGACAAAAGGTGAGGGGGAGGGAGGGAGGGAGGGAGAGAGGGAGGAGGGGATGGAGGAAGGGAAGGAAATGGACGCAGCGTATTGATCGCTTGGATGAAGACTCATCGACATTGCATATTCATCGTGACAGGGGGCAAGAGCATCGAGGCCGGCGTCCACGGGTTCTGGTACTGCTACCGGAACATCTTCCACCTGGTGGTGAGTCCTCCCCCGCCACCTCTCTCTTTTCTTTCTTCCATCAAGCCTTCCTTCCAAACTCACTTTCCATTTCCTTCTCTCAAACTCTTTCCTTCTTCTCCTCTTCCCTCTCTCTGGCCTCCCTTTTCCCGCATTTCGATGCCTGTGATCCCCCTCCCTCCCTCCCTCCCTCCTTCCCTCCCTCCAGGAAAACGAGCTCCGCCTTTCCCCCTTCACGGACTGGACT